CCTGGGCTGGGAGACTAGAGACCTGGCTTTTTGTTCTTCCTCTAAGGTAACCTCCATCCAGACGGGTCTCAGAGATTCCTCTCCATTCTGCAGAGGAGGGCTTGGGGGTAAAGCCCAGAACAGTGCCAGATTCTTCACTTACTGTTTTCAAAACATTGCAAGCGCTGCCCTAGAGGCTAGGGAACCCAGACTGCAAAACTAAGGCCTGTGAGTAAAAGTTGTGAGGCCTGGGTGTGGTGCCTGAAAACCCTGCTAGGTGACAGCTGTGTGCCTTCAGGCAAGTGGCTTCACCCCTGTGACCCTTGGTTTTCCCATAGTTAAAATGGGCACAATACTGCTCTCAAAGTGTTATTATGAGGGTTAATTGAGGTGTTATATATAAAGTGCTTAGCACAGGCTCTGACGCTTGGTAAACAATTGATAAAAAGTAATTGCTGATGTTGTTATTTAAAATTTTTCTAATGGTTACAGCCATTTATCAGCAGAAGGTCCCCTTAAGAGAAAGCAAGCTCCCTGCTGCAGGAAATATTTAAACAGAGGCTGTCCTGGATGTCGGAGCCCTGGTGGTGCAGTGGTTAAGAGCTTAGCTGCTAACCAGAAGGTCAGCAGTTCGAATTCACCAGCAGCTCCTTGGAAACCCTATGGGGCAGTTCTACTCTGTACTGTAGGGTCCCTATGAGTCATAACTGACTTGACAGCAATACGTTCGGTTTGGTTTGGGTCGTGGATGTCACAGATACTGTTTCCAACCAAGTGGAGGGACCAGATTAACATCTGTGGTCTTTCCTCATCTCTGGTTCCACAATTCTGGATTGTGTAGTTGATTGTAGAGGCAGGGAGAAAGTATAAGCAGGAAGGAAAGGAAACTCCATCTAATAGATAAATGTGCATCTCAATAGAAGGCAGAAAATCCTGGGAGCAAATATGTAAGATTTTTTCACTTCTTGAGTAGGAGCTAACCACAGATACTTCTGGGGTGCTTTTGTTTTGCTTTTTAGACAAAAGATTTGCCTGATGTCAGGGGCCAGAGCTCAGAGAGCAAATCAGAGAGTGTTTAGCTGACATATCAGTTGTCACTTGAATTGTGCTTCGGTGTACGCTTTCCAATATCCTTAATGGGTTTTTATGAGGTTTGTTCACATGGTAATTGGCTGAATATAGTTATCTGAAACAGATTTCCAAGTCATTATCGCACATTAACGAGACTGCTGTTCTCCAATTAGATCAGTCATGTCACATATTTTTGAAGAGAACAGCAAAGTGGAAAAATAAAAGTAAAATAAAAAAAGACTCCTAAGATCAAATATGTTTGAGAGTTTCATAGTGATGA